CACAGGGCTGGGGTTAACCCCTTACAGCCAGGCCTTGTTCCTACTCAGGGCTGGGATTAACCCCTTACAGCCAGGCCTTGTTCCTACTCAGGGCTGGGATTAACCCCTTACAGCCAGGCCTTGTTCCTACTCAGGGCTGGGGTTAACCCTTCACAGCCAGGCCTTGTTCCTACACAGGGCTGGGGTTAACCCTTCACAGCCAGGCCTTGTTCCTACACAGGGCTGGGGTTAACCCTTCACAGCCAGGCCTTGTTCCTATATAGGGCTGGGGTTAACCCCTTACAGCCAGGCCTTGTTCCTGAGGCAGGGCTGGGATTAACCCCTTACAGCCAGGCCTTGTTCCTACTCAGGGCTGGGATTAACCCCTTACAGCCAGGCCTTGTTCCTACTCAGGGCTGGGATTAACCCCTTACAGCCAGGCCTTGATCCTACTCAGGGCTGGGGTTAACCCCTTACAGCCAGGCCTTGTTCCTATATAGGGCAGGGATTAACCCCTTACAGCCAGGCCTTGTTCCTGAGGCAGGGCTGGGATTAACCCCTTACAGCCAGGCCTTGTTCCTACTCAGGGCTGGGGTTAACCCCTTACAGCCAGGCCTTGTTCCTGACAGCACTGCTGGGATTAACCCCTTACAGCCTGCAGCCTTGTTCCTACACAAGGCTGGGATTAACCCCTTACAGCCAGGCCTTGTTCCTACACAAGGCTGGGATTAACCCCTTACAGCCAGGCCTTGTTCCTACACAGCACTGCTGGGATTAACCCCTTACAGCCTGCAGCCTGCCCAGGGTGGTGCATGGCTGGGATTTTCCCATAGGAAGTGCTCTGTTCCTCGTGACCTCCGTGTCCTCTGGCAGCACAAAGCCCCTCATTCTTCCCATGGGAATGCCAGGGGAGAGCAGGACCTTGGTGTTAGAGCCCATTGTGCAGCTTTTCTCTGAAGGAGCTTGTCTGGAGCCAGGCTCTTGTTTTCCCACCTCTGAAGTCCCGAGGAATGTTCCCTGGCCCCTGCTGAGGAGAGGAGAGCTGGGTTCTGAGCTCTGTGCCTCTCTCCCTGCCCTCCTCCCTCTGTGGACAGTGGGGTTTGGGAGCTCCCATGGCAGTGAGAGCTGTGGGTGATCACTCACAGCATCAGAGCCCTGAGCCACCTCTGGGGCCAAACAGAGGGCAAGGAAATCCAGCTGCTTTTCTGGGGTTTGAGCAATCCATCATCCATTTTCTGCATCTGCAGGGAGCCGAGATTTCCCTTGTGCTGGGCTGTCTGTGCTGCTGGCTTTGGGCACTGCTGGGGAGGGCTGGGAGCTGTTTGCAGCCTGTGGATCAGCCTGTGGGTTTGTGATGGCTCCTTGTTGGGGAAGATGGAACAGGAAAGCCTTATCAATGTGATTGTCTGGCAAATGATTTAGAGAATATGGAAACTATGAGCGAGATTGAAATGAAAGCAAGCTTTGAGATCCCTCAGTTACTGAACAACTGGAAAACAATGGTGTGGCTGGACTGAAGGTGATCAAACAACACCCTCTGCTTGCAGGCAGCTCCAAGGGTCAGAGCAGACCCTGCCAGCTTGGCAGAAGGGACCCAAAGAGGAGTTTTTAGGGTTTAAAATGTAGCACAGGATGGTAATGCAATGATTCTTATAGGCTGTATGTAAATGCTATAGGATTTGTATTTGTACTAGATTGGTCAGTGAGAATTAGAATATTCAACACGGAAGATTTATTGTATTGTAACGGGAACTTCGCTCTCTTACTCTCTTATGCTCTTACCCTCTCATCCTCTCTCACCCTCTCACCCCCTCTCTTCTCTCAGGCCTGCTCTGAGCTGTGGCTGGCAGCTCCCAGCAGGCCCCTGCACCCAGGCCCTTTGCAATAAACCCCAAATTCCCAGCAGGCCCCTGCACCCAGGTCCTTGGCAATAAACCCCAAATTCCAAAAGGCCCCTGCACCCAGGCCCTTTGCAATAAACCCCAAATCCCAAAAGGCCCCTGCACCCAGGCCCTTTGCAATAAACCCCAAATCCCAAAAGGCCCCTGCACCCAGGCCCTTTGCAATAAACCCCAAATTCCCAAAGGCCCCTGCACCCAGGCCCTTTGCAATAAACCCCAAATCCCAAAAGGCCCCTGCACCCAGGCCCTTTGCAATAAACCCCAAGTTCCACGACCTGTTTTCAGAGATCTCTGGTCTCTGTCCATCCCAACCATCCTACCCCCAATGCTCCTACAGCTCCTTTGCTCTGTGTGAGCTGGGAGGAGCCCAGAGGTGAGGGAGCCACCTGTAACCCCTCCCTGTGTCACACTGTCCTGCCTGCAGCCTCCTTCCTGCCTCACTGGGGTATTTTCTGAGACCCTGTCAAAGGGAGGAATGGTGAATCTGGCTCCATGTTCTCAGAAGGCTAATTTATTGTTTGATGATTTATATTGTATTAAAAAACACTATACTAAAGAATACAGAAAGGATACAGACAGAATGCTAAAAAGATAATGAAAACTCTGACTCCTTCCAGAGTCCTGACACAGCCTGACCATGATTGGCCAATGAGTCAAAACAATTCACATGAAACCAATCAAAGAACCGCCTGTTGGTAAACAATGTCCAAACCACATTCCAAAGCAGCAAAACACAGGAGAAGCAAATGAGATAATACTGTTTTCCTTTTTCTCTGAGGCTTCGCAGAGTCCCAGGAGAAGAATCCTGGGCAAGGGATTTTTCTAGAAAATATGATGGTGACAGGTCATGATCTGAGCTGGAGCCCAGGGCAGAGGTGTCACTTCCAGCAGGAATCTGAGGAGCTCTGCTTTCAGTCCTGCTGCTCCCACGTGTTCTGGGGCAGCTCTGAAGGCAGGAGATGCTCTGATCCCCCAGGAGCCTGTGTGGGATTGATGGGTTCATGGGTACAGGGCAGTGCCTGCAGCACCAGGAGGGGGAATTACTGCTGGGCACCCCTCCCTTCCTGCTGCTGCTCCCACCTGGCCCCCAGGGGTGTGAGCATCACATTGAGCTGTTCCAACAGCACAGACCAACCCAGTCACCTTTATAAATCCTCATTTTTAGTCCTTCCTTTCCTTCCTTTCCTTCCTTTCCTTCCTTTCCTTCCTTTCCTTCCTTTCCTTCCTTTCCTTCCTTTCCTTCCTTTCCTTCCTTTCCTTCCTTTCCTTCCTTTCCTTCCTTTCCTTCCTTTCCTTCCTTTCCTTCCTTCCTCTGCAGAGCAGGTGTGGACAGCCAGGTCAGCCCCTGGATGTGTGGGTCCTGCTGGAAAAGGGGGCAGAAGGACCACATTGGGTCTGTTCCTGCTTTGCCAAGCTTGGGGCTGTAAATGGAAAATGCTGGGTTAAAATCCCCATTGGAGGTTCAGGTCTAGGCAACATGATGGAGTAAATGACTGAATGTATTCAAGTGCAAGAAAAGCACTATGGAACAGGGATTTATTTGGGATTTTTCCTTCTATTTCCCCCCTCCAGGCTTCACTGGCTCAGCTGTGTGTTTTTATTACACTAATGCTGAGGCCTGCTTCCAGAACATTTTGTGGGAAACTGAGGAGTTGACTGTGCCTAAAACCCCAGGTGACTGTGTGTTAGAAAAAGGAAAGTTTCCTACCTTTGTTAGCTTATCCTCTGAGCTCACAGTGGGTTCTGCTGTGTTTCCCTGCCCTTAGTGTCCAGGGAGGCTCCTGGGAAGGCTGTAAAGCCTTTCAGGCAGAAATGTAAAGAATTTGGAACATGTAACTATTGTTGAGTGAGATAAAAGCTTTTGTCTGGGGAAAAGGAGCGAGTTTGAGTTGATTTTTCCTGCAAAGGGAAGTTCTACATTTCTTCCTTCTGCTGGTCAGCCTCGATTTTGTGAGTGCAGGACACAGGAGCCAGGGGGAGATGGGCTCTGCTCCCAGGGAACAGGGACAGGAGCAGAGGGAACGGCCTCAGGGTGGAAATTGGGAAATTCCTTCACTCAAGAGAGGTTCAGGGTTGGTAGGGGCTGCCCGGGCAGTGCTGAGCCCCCATCCCTGGAGGTGTCCCTGGAGGTGGCACTCAGCGCTCTGGGCTGGGGACAAGGTGGCCATGGGGCACAGGGTGGACTCAGGGACCCTGGGGGGCTTTTCCAAGCTCACTGATCCTGGGATTCTGTGCTGTGTCTGTCTCTTGTACCTGAAGCAAGCCAGAAATGTCACCTGTGGGGCTGCAAGGTGGGCACATCCTGCTGCCCTCGTGCTTCCAGGCAAACTTTGTCTGGGGTTTGCAGTCATGCAAGAGGCAGGAAATTCTCCTTTAACATTTGTCCTGCAATCCACAGGTTTATTTTGGCTTAGACAATCTCTGTTTGCAGAAATGACTTGGAGCAGGAACAATTCCTGCTGTTCACTCTTAGGAGCTCTGTCACAGCATAAAGCAAATAAAGATGGCAGATTTTAATATGCAACCCCCCCAAGTGATAAAGAAATACTGGCTTTGGAATGCTCAGTGTTTTCTTACAGAATGCTGCTGTTGGACAGCAGGTGAAGAGAGTAAATAGAAAGTTTTCCTCCTTGAAGGTACCAGGAATTGTTGCCAGTGCTGTGCTCCTCCCCAGAGTGCCTTGGGCAGCCCAGGCTGGTCAGAGAGCCACTTGTGATGTATTTTGTGCTACAGGAGCAGCATAGCCATGTTGCTCTTGAGTTTCCCCTGGAACAGGGATGGTCCAGCCCTGACAGCAAGGTTGAGATCTGCTCAGTCATTTCACAGCATCAATAAATAAATCCCAGAGTGGTTTGTGCTGCAAAGGACCTCAGAGCCCACCCAGTGCCACCCCTGCCATGGCAGGGACACCTTCCATGATCCCAGGGTGCTCCAAGCCCCAATGTCCAGCCTGGCCTTGGGCACTGCCAGGGATCCAGGGGCAGCCCCAGCTGCTCTGGGAATTCCATCCCAGCCTCTCCCCACCCTCCCAGGGAAGAATTCCTTCCCTAACGTTTGCAATCTTTCTAAACCACGCTGCTAACATTTATTTCCCTTGTTTCTGTCCCCGTGCCCTCCCAGGTGGAGGCAGTGCCTCCCTGCAGGGCTGCCCACGCTGCTGTGCCCCGGGATGGCCTGGAGGTGAGGATGACCCTGACTGAGAGGCTGCGCGAGAGGATTTCGCGGGCGTTCTACAGCCACGGGCTGCTCTGTGCCTCCTACCCCATCCCCATCATCCTCTTCACTGCCCTCTGCATCCTGGCCTGCTGGTGAGTGCTGCCCCCTCGGGCACACGGGCATCAGGGATTCTCCTGCCCCCTGCGGCACGGGGAAATTAAGAATCTGACTCCATGTTCTTAGAAGGCTAATTTATTATTTTATTATAAATTATATTATATCATATCATATTATATATTATATATGATATGATATTATATTCTATTTTATATAAATATATCATTATATTATATTAATATATTATGTTATAATACATGTTATGATATATTATGGTATAACATTATATATTTTGTTATGATATATTATGGTATAACATTATATTATATTGTATTAAATATATTAGGATATATAAGGATATATCATATCATATCCTATCATATCATACCATACTATATCATACCATATTGTACTATACTACATTATACTACATTAGCATACTGTATTATTATACTATATTTATTATTATACTATATTATACTATACTATATTATTATAATATATTATACTCTACTAAAACGATACTATAACTATTATAGTATATAATATTTATTATATCAATATATTATATTATATGTTATGATATATTATGTTATGATATGTTATATATTTTATGGTATATTATATTATATTATATTATATTATATTATATTATATTATATTATATTATATTATATTATATTATATTATATTATATTATATTATATTATGATATATAAGGATATATCATATCCTATCATACTATATCGTACTATACTACATTATACTATATTATTATACTATGTTATACTATACTAAAACTATTATAGTATATAATATAAACTATATTATAGTATATAATACCATCTAAAGAACACAGAAAGGATACTTACAGAAGGCTTAACAAGATACTAATGCAAAACTTGTGACTCTCTCTAGTCCCGACACAGCTGGCTGTGTTTGGTCATTAAGTTAAAACAATTCACATGAAACCAATCAAACACCCACCTGTTGGTAAACTATGTCCAAACCACATTCCAAAGCAGCAAAACACAGGAGAAGCAAATGAGATAATATTGTTTTCCTTTTTCTCTGAGGCTTCTCAGCTTCCCAGGAGAAGAATCCTGGGCAAGGGGATTTTTCCAGAAAATGTGACAGTGACACGGGGCTGGGCACAGGGATTCTTGGCAGCATTCTCCCTTCTGGGCCCACCCAGAAGCTCTTTTTAAATTTAGACTTTGTAGGTTTTGTCATCTCCTTTTGTGGGACAGAAGAAACAATGGGGATGAAGTGTCTGCATCTGGTTTAATAAGTAAGAACTAATTGGATGAGTGAAGTGAAGCAATAAATGAGATTAAGGTAACCCTCAAGCACCTGGTAGTGGCCTCCAAAGCCATGAATTAAAAATGGGGAGAAGGAAAGCTGATCTTTCCTTGCACACCTGCCTGTCCTGTTCTCCCTGGAGCCTGCACTCTTCTCTTTCACCCTTGGCATGCCCATGTGGGAGTGGATTCCCCACTGTCCTTATGGACCTTAATGTGGATCCCTGGTCTGCAGGTGGATATAATTTTCCTCCCAGGAATGTCACACGGGCTCAGAATCACCTCCAGCAGGGCACTGTGGGGCTGAGCAAACCTTTGTCCCCAGACCATGCACACATGTGCATGTACAGACTGTCCTGCAGGCTTCAATTCTCTTGTCTCTTTTGGGCAAAATAAGCCCCTTGTGATGCTTTGCTCCCCTGTCTGTAGGAAAGCTCCACCTGTGTTGGCACAGACACAGGTTTTCCTTTGAGCTGTGGGGGTGGCGGGGGCTGCCTGCACATCTCAGTTAAAACATCATCAAAGGGAGGATTTTCACACGTGGAAAACCTCTGGGGTGGCTGCTCCTGGCTGGAACCCTTTGTGGTTGTGAGCAGCAGTGGGGGCGTTGCTTCCTGGCTTTTCACTGCTCCACAGGACCCCTTGTACCTTTCAGGGACACTTTTATTCTCAGGCTTGTCCTGTAGCACATGAAGCTCCTACAAGGCCCACCCAAGTGGTTCCTACATTTCTCTGTCTTTGATATGAAAGATATCAAAGATATCTGGATATATCTCGCTACTTGCAAGGTAGCAATCTCTGTGTTTTGGCTCCAGCTTTGCCAGGTGCAGCTTTCCAGTGGCATTTCTTCACCTGGAAGCTGCACCCGGCAAAGCCAAGCCAGGGTCCCCCGTGTGTCACTGTGTCACCTCACTCCTGCTTGGGAATGGCTTCCAGGATGGCTCAGGCTCCTCATCCCAGCTCTCCCAGGCAGAAAATGCAGGAAACTGCTGCAGTGTGAATGTTCACCCAGAGTGTCGTGTTTGGGGAGGGATCAAAATGTGCTTATTCCCCTCTGAAATTCAGGATTTCCTGGAGAGGAGGAGATCTGACTGGGGTCACCAGCTCAGCCCCCTGGGTCAGGGCTTGGAGCTGCCCTGTCACTGCTCAGAGCAGGCAGCTGAGGCTGCAGAGCAGGAGGGTTTTGGTAACTGGGGGTTTGTGGGAGTGTCTGCATCCTGAGTGCCAGCCTTTGAGGGTTCTGCAGTGCCTGGTTCCCTCCAGGCTGCAGAAATCCGCCCAGGACACCATCAGGTGTGAGGAGTCTGTTTGCTTCAGTGAGTTCCAGGAATTCCTGAGCAAAGCAGAGCCTGGCCCTGGCAGAGCCAGGTGGCAAAGGCCTGGTGACAGCCCTGGGGAGCAGGAGAAGCTCTGCAGAAAGAGAATCCCAGCCTGGCTGCGGCTGGAGGCCTGGGGCCCTGTTAGGAGCCGTTTCTGGGTGTTCCAGCTCCTGCTCTGGGCTGCTGTGCATTACCCGCTGATAACGAGGGGTTAATTGTGAGGAGTGGCTTTGCTAATTAGGTGAGAACTGTTCCACAGTGGGTCCTGCACCTGGCATGCCAGGGGGTGAGAGTGAAGGGATTGCTGCGTGGGTGCATTGTGCTGCATGGCTGTGTTGTGCTGCATGGGGATGGGGTGCATTGTGCTGCCTGGGAGCTGATGCATGGTGCTGCATGGGAGCCAGTGCATTGTGCTGCATGGGTGCTTTGTGCTGTGTTTGGTGTCTTGTGCTGCCTGGGAGCTGGTGCATAGTGCTGCACGGGTGCATTGTGCTGCATAGGGGGCTGGTGCATTGTGCTGCCTGGGTGACTTGTGCTGTATCAGTGCATGGTGCTGCCTGGGTGCATTGTTCTGCATGGGAGCTGGTGCATTGTGCTGCCTGGAGGTGGTTCACTGTGCTGCATGGGGACTGCTGCATTGTTCTGCCTGGGAGCTGGTGCATAGTGCTGCATGGATGCCAGTGCATGGTGCTGCATGGGGGCTGGTGCATGGTGCTGCATCGGTGCATTGTGCTGCCTGGGTGCATTGTTCTGCCTGGGAGCTGGTGCACGGTGCTGCATGGGAGCCAGTGCAGTGTGCTGCATGGGTGCTTTGTGCTGTGTTTGGTGTTTCGTGCTGCATGGGTGCCGGTGCATGGTGCTGCATGGGTGCCAGTGCATGGTGCTGCATGGGTGCCAGTGCATGGTGCTGCATGGGTGCCGGTGCATGGTGCTGCATCGGTGCATTGTGCTGCCTGGGTGCATTGTGCTGCCTGGGTGCATTGTGCTGCCTGGTCGCTGGTGCATTGTGCTGCCTGGGTGCTGAGGAGGATGCACTGTGCTGTTTGGCACGGGTCCCCTGCTGGAGCTGAGCTGTGGGTGCTCTATGGGAGCTCTCCTCTCCTCTCCTCTCCTCTCTCCCAGCTGTGTTTCCCTGATGCACCCAGCACTCTGCAGACACCGCCCAGGAACAGCCTGAGCCCCGGGGGAGGATCAGGGCCCAGCACTGAGGCAGCAGCTCACTCAGGCAGCATTTCTGTGCAGCAGGGCTGGGCAGGACCCTCTGCTCTGTGTGCAGCTGCACTGAGACCTGCACAGGGCAGGGAGCTCACAGAGCCATGGAACTGGTAAGGGTGGAAAAGGCCTCCAGGTCAAGGATTCCCCAGCACTGCCAAGGCCACCTGTGACCCCTTCCATGTTCCTGAAACAGGGTTAATGGATAAAGGCATCCTGCAAACGAGGGTGGGTCTGGTATCCTGAGCTGTCAGAGGCAGGGAGGTGCACCAGCCCTGCCTGCTGTGCCTGGCACCAAGGACAGCTTGTGGAGTTCTGCTGCAGACAAAATCATCTCAGTTACTGTGGCTTCCCTCCCCCTCACATCAGTCAAACCCCACCGTTCTTGTGTGCAGGCAGTTTTCAAAAGTTGAAATAAAGCTCAAGGTCCACAATTTATCCACCAGGGGCTCTGGCCTCAGGCAGGTGAGGGCAGTGCCCATGCAGGCAATAAGGTCACCACAGAGTCTGGTCTGGTTGTTTTGGGTGCCTTTCCCCTTGGAAGGGTTTGTACAGACCCTGTGTTTAATGTCACTGACAGACAAGACACAGCACCTCTGGCTTTGAGAATAAATCAATACCCAAAGCAAAAATCCTGTGACTCATTCTTACTCTCCAGTCCTAAAGTCTGAAAATCCAAGTTAGTCCCCACGTCAGAGGGAGAGTTTTCTTGTTCTACTGTAAATCCCTTTGTAGGTGATACTAATTTTCCTCATCCCACTTGAATGGCTCTGTGTTGGGATCTGCATTTTCCCTGGAATGGGGGTGTCACCAGCCTCGTTTGACAGCAGAGGGGAACAGGTGACACCTGGGGATGTGGCCATTGGGGTAAATATGAAATGCCAGTGTCACCCTGAGGAACAGCTTTTAGTTCAGGTGAGGATTGCAGATGAGCCAGGTGGGTCTGAAGCAGGGCAATTAAACAGGGCTTTGTTAATGAACAAAGCACAGGTTCTGCTCCTGAGGAATGGCAGAACAGGCTGGAACCAGAGCCCCTGGGCAGGTGTGTGTGTGTGTGTGTGTGTACATGTTTATTTATGTAAAATAAACCTTCCCTTATTTCTGTAAGATTGTATCACTCTTGCACAGGTCTGTACTTTTTGTGTGGCAGCCAGAGGACCTGAATTAGAGTCAGACTCTTCAGATCCCCAGAGAACAGAGTCTCCTGTGGGCTTCCAGCATGACTGGGAGCAGCTTGTGCTGCACAGGAGAGGGGAATCTCCTTTCCAGGGCAGAATTTGGAGCCCTGTCAGAGGGAAGCAGGGCACAGCCACCACCACTCACTCAGAAGCAGGTTGGTGGTGCACTTGCCAAGGCTAAAACGGCACTGTTGCTGCCAGATATTGGCCTTGCCAGCCCTGTGGCAGGACCCTGGTAGCAGATTCCCTCCCTGCTCAGCAGTGGGATTCCAGGCTGCTCTGTCTTGGCTGCAGACAGGCCCAAAGCTTGTCCTGCTGGGAGCTGGTTTCATTCCATGGATCAGCTCCTTTCCTGTTACCTGAGCCCTGGCAGCTCCTGCCCCTGGGGCTGGCAAGGGGGAGTGTGCAGGGAGGGATTTGCCTGGAGCTCTCCTGGCCCTGCTCCACCTTGGCCGCCTGAGCTGTCTTCAGAATCTGTCAGTGCCTGGATGAGCACCTCTGCCTGCTCCTCCTCATGCTGCTGGCTGGAATGCAGCTCCTGCTGCAGTTCAGCAGTTCCAGCTGGTTACAGCATCTGTGTTTCCTTTATTCTGGGTTCCACAGGGGTGTCAGGGTGCACAGGGACATGAGCATCTCAAAAGAGCCTTTCCTAAATCAGATAAGAGCTTTCCTGTCATCTTTGTTAGATCCCAGGATGGGTGGGTTTGGGAGGGTCTGGATGCCACCCAGGCCAGCCCCTGCCAGGGCAGGGTCCCCTGAGCTGTGTCCAGGTGGCTCTGGGATGTCTCCAGAGAGGAGACTCCAGCCCCCCTGGGCAGCTGTTCCAGGGCTCTGCCCCTGCATGGACAGAGGCTGTTCCTGCTGCTGGGCTGGAGCTGCTGTGCTTTGCTTTGTGGCCATTTCAGGTCCTGCTGTTCTTCCCTCCTCTGTCTGTGCTTTCCATTCTGTTCACCTCTTTCCCTGCTGCTCAAAAAAAATCCCTAACACAGAAAAATGTGAGGAGAGTCAAACCCAAGTGCTGGAAATGCCTTCCCTGGAGCTGAGGTGGGGCCCCTGTGCAGTGTCAGTGACCCAGAGCTGTCACAGCTGTGGCTGCCCCTGGACACCTGGATGTGTCCCAGGCCAGGCTGGACAGGGCTTGGGGCACCCTGGCACAGTGGGAGGTGTCCCTGCCATGGCAGGGGTGGCACTGGATGATCCTGCAGGTCCCTTCCATCCCAAACCACTCCAGCATTCCGTGATCCCAGCACCTGGTGGGTCCCAAACCAGCAGGGCCAGGTTCACACAAGGAGCCCCTTTTCCCTCCACGCTGAGCCATGACCCAGGACTGAGAGCTCAGAGAGAATCCAGGATCCCCTCCTGCTCTGGTCCCTCAGCAGAGCTGCTCATCCCACCTGGAGTCAGCAGCTGCCACTGGGCCTGGAGGAGAGCTGAGCCCTCCTGCCCTGGGAGGGGACTCTGCTGCCCTGGGGATCCCAGGGGTGACAGATCCCTTGGGAAGGCCCTGGGACAGCAGCAGCACAGCCAGCACTGCCAGCACAGACACCCAGGGAGGGGAAACACCCCACAGTCAGACTGAACCTGAGCTGATTGCACAATGGGACTGAACCTGAGCTGACTCCACAGTCAGACTGAACCTGAGCTGATTCCACAGTCAGACTGAACCTGAGCTGACTCCACAGTCAGACTGAACCTGAGCTGATTCCACAGTCAGACTGAACCTGAGCTGACTCCACAGTCAGACTGAACCTGAGCTGATTCCACAATGAGACTGAATCTGAGCAGTCTCTGGTTGTAAATTATTCAAATTCTACAAAAAACATTTGTTGTGACTCCTCCCAACTCACGGGTGACTCACAGGGAATACCTCCCTGCAGAAGCACCTTCTGTGAATCTCAAGTGCTTTCCTTGGATTTCTGGACACAGCTGCCAACACTGAAATCATTTAGGGAAAAAACAATTCCTCCTTAAGCATCTGTTGAAGGTGCTCTGCTTTGTTTATCACTTATGCTTGATCTTACTGTTCCTTTTTCTCTTCCCTGCCCTTGCCTAAGGAAATTCTAATAATTAGATGTATTTCTGTCAGAGCAATAAAGAGCAAATCTGACAAGCTTGGCTTCTGATTTCATTGTTCTTTTCCAGCTGTTTGTTGTTCTCTCTGAAGCTTTGTGTTTAGATGCTGCTTGTTCCTCCATGGCCTTTGATGATCCAAGCTAATCCCTAATGAAGTGGGCAGGAAAACAATTCCAAGGCCTTTCTCTTTATTGTATCAGTATTGCCACAAAATTCATCTACAAACAGGAAAATATATCAGGAATTGTAGGGCCACAAAAAGACTGAAGTTCTGATCTCCAGTTCAGTTCGGTTCAGTTTGGTGTTCAGACAGTTCCAGATTCTCTGTGGATCTCTGTGTGTCAGCAGCCTTGCTTTTCCCACCAGTTCAATTTTGATTTGCTTTTAACCACTTTTGAGAACACTTGGAGTTAAAAATCTGATTCTAAACTCTCTGTAACCTCATTTTCTCAATTTCTGAATAGTTCAAAGTTGAAAGCTCTGTTGTGGGACAGGAGCTATGATCACCAGAGGTTGTGGTGGCAAAGCAGCAAGAAGATCAAGAGTTCACAGTTTTGGTGTCTCACTGCTGCTCTTAAAAGTGCTTTGAGGACCAATGAAGCTAATGACAAGTTTTGGAAATAGTTTGAATTTAATAGAGGAAAAGCAGAGGATTATAAAGGCTTTGGGGCAGGGAAGCAGCCACTGGAACAAGGGAGTGTCTGGGCTTTGGGTGGGATATGCAGTTACTGAGCCATGGCCATACTGAGAGGTTTTGACACAGCCAGCTTGGATGGGGGAATCCAGGAGAGGCCCTGCCAGGTCTTCCCTTCTTCTCTCCCAGGACTTTTCCATCCCTGTCCGAGGGAGGAGGACTCTGGGATAGCAGTGAAAGCCAAATCCCCCTTGCTGGGTCTCCTGTCCTGCACAGCTTGGACTCTTCTACTATTATTATTATTATTATTATTATTATTATTACTTTTATTACTTTTATTACTTTTATTACTATCATTATCATTATTATTATTTAAATACTACTACTACTACTACTACTACTACTACCACTACTACCACTACTTATTATTATTATTATTATTATTATTATTATCATTATCATTATCATTATCATCATCATCATCATCATCATCATCATCATTATTATTAATAAAGTAATATAAATTCCTAATTTTATTATTATTCTTCATACCACCAGGAGAAAATTCCTTCAGCATTTAGAGCTAAACCTCTGGGCAAGGTTACCATTTTGGGGACGCATTCAGATGTTTCAGGAAACACCGAATTTATTCTGCCTGTAAAAGTGCATGAACCTCCCAAGTGAGGGATTTGCCTGGTTGTGTCCCCCCAGCTCGCCCCTGCTGAAGCTGCCTCTGCCAGGGACGGGCCCCGTGGAGTTCAGCACGCCGCTGAAGGACTACGCTCCCCCCGGGGAGCAGGGAATGCAGCACGGGGAGCCTGGAGAGCGCCCTGACTGGGTGAGTGCTGCTGGGGACACCATGGGGACACTGGGGACACTGGGGACACAGCCCCCGGGGAGCAGGGAATGCAGCACGGGGAGCCTGGGGAGCGCCCCGACTGGGTGAGTGCTGCTGGGGACACCATGGGGACACTGGGGACACTGGGGACACTGGGGACACAGCCCCCGGGGAGCAGGGAATGCAGCACGGGGAGCCTGGAGAGCGCCCTGACTGGGTGAGTGCTGCTGGGGACACGGCCCTGCTGGGGACACTGGGGACACTGGGGAGGGGACATGGCTCCTGGGTAGCAGGGAATGCAGCACGGGGAGCCTGGAGAGCGCCCTGACTGGGTGAGTGCTGCTGGGGACATCATGGGGACACTGGGGACACTGGGGACACAGCCCCCGGGGAGCAGGGAATGCAGCACGGGGAGCCTGGAGAGCGCCCTGACTGGGTGAGTGCTGCTGGGGACACCATGGGGACACTGGGGACACTGGGGACACAGCCCCCGGGGAGCAGGGAATGCAGCACGGGGAGCCTGGAGAGCGCCCTGACTGGGTGAGTGCTGCTGGGGACACCATGGGGACACTGGGGACACTGGGGACACAGCCCCCGGGGAGCAGGGAATGCAGCACGGGGAGCCCGGGGAGCACCCCGACTGGGTGAGTGCTGCTGGGGACACCATGGGGACACTGGGGAGGGGACATGGACCTGCTGGGGACATGGGGAGGGGACACGGCTCCCGGGGAGCAGGGAATGCAGCACAGGGAGCCTGCAGAGCGCCCTGACTGGGTGAGTGCTGCTGGGGACACCATGGGGACACTGGGGAGGGGACATGGACCTGCTGGGGACATGGGGAGGGACATAGACCTGCCCCCTGAGGAGGGGACACAAGGAGGGGACACAGCCCTGCTGGGTTATGGGGAGGGGCCATGGCCCTGCTGGGGACACAGAGAGGGGCCAGGGCTCTGCTGGGTTGCCCATCACTTGATGGCCCAGAGCAGCTGGGGCTGCCCCTGGATCCCTGGCAGTGCCCAAGGCCAGGCTGGACAGGGCTGGGAGCACCTGGGACAGTGGGAGGTGTCCCTGCCATGGCAGGGGTGGCACTGGATGGGCTCTGAGGTCCCCACAATCCAAACAGAGAACCAGACTCCTTTTGTTCTTGCCTGCTGAGTCCTCTCGTGTTCCCCCTCTGATTTGGGAAGGGAGAGCAGAGTCTGGCAAAGCCCTTCTGTGGGATTTTCAGGGTCCCCCATGGCAGGAAGGAAATGATGACTCTGACTCCATGTTCTTAGAAGGCTGATTTATTATTTTATGTTACTATATTATATAAAAGAATGCGATACTAAAACTATACTAAAGAATAGAGAAAGGATATTTACAGAAGGTTTGATGAGATACTAATGAAAACTTGTGACTCTCTCCAGAGTCCCGACACAGCCTGACCGTGATTTGCCATTAATAAAAACAATTCACATGTTGGATGAACAATCTCCAACCACATTCCAAAGCAGCAAAACACAGGAGAAGCAAATGAGATAACATTGTTTTCCCTTTTCTCTGAGGCTTCTCAGCTTCCCAGGAGAAGAATCCTGGCTAAGGGATTTTTCCAGAAAATATGGCACTTGTGGGGGTTTTAGTTGTTGGGTTTTTTTGGGTTTGGATTAAAGGCACTTGAGACAATAGTTTATGTTTGGACTTAAGTGTTTATTATTTTTTTATTAGTAAAACAGTTTTATTACTGTGAGTTTGGCAGTTTTTTATTAGAAGGCACAAAATGGTTAACAGTTTTTTGTTACAAGGTTTTTTAAGACTAAACTATTTCATTAAGAGCTGACAGATTACTTTTTTAACTTAATAATTGATTTAAAGAGCTTGCAATGCAGACTTTTTAATGTAATTACAAAATGCTACTTATGAAGAAGAAGGAAGAAGTATGAAGAAGAAACTTAGGATAACATTCTGTGGTTTTTTGTTTTTTTTTTTATTTACAATATACAAAAAATCTTAAAACTTAAATTTCTCACTAAGTGATATACTTACACTACTCTCTATAATTTATTTTACACTTTTGTGGATTCTAGTCTATCTTGAAGTTTAGGAAACTTTCTCTATGAATGAGGGTCAAAGTCAGAGCTCCTCTGGGGGTCAGGGCACCCCAGAGCAGACAGAAATATTTTTGGTGCTTTGGGTTTCCACATGGCAAGGGGATTTTTCCAGAAAATATGGCAGTGACATCGTTCCTGCTCTGGTTCTCTGGGAGCTCCCCAGTTGTGGGAATGTTTAAAAGCTGAGGATTTTAGGAAAGTTTATCTAGTGAGATATGAGGAAGTTCTAAGCTTAATAAAGGAGCTCTGTGTGTTGTGTTTGAAGGCTCCCAAGCAGGTATTGTATTGGAAATAAGCAAGCATTGTTTAACCAAAGGTACCTGTGCTTACAGTGGTTGGATGGAACCACTGTCAATGTGCTTTTGCTTTGTGGGATTGGTTAAAAAACTTCTAAAGTGAGTTGTGACATGAAGTTCTGTGTCTGCTGCCTGGGATGTGAGCTGCTGGCATCTTCCCATTGCCATAACCATGTGATGAGGCTGATGCTGGAAAGTCAAGCAGCTCAGGAGGTGTTCCCCAGCAGCCCCATCCCACTGGGGGTTTGTACAGGCCCCTGTCACTGAAGGGGTGTTGGGGACAGACTGTGGCATTCACACCCCCTGAACATGATTTCTCTGCCCAGGATTTTTCTCCTGGGAAGCTGAAAAGCAGCAAGAAGCCTCAGAGAAAAGGAAAACAATTCTTATCTCATTTGCTTCTCCTGTGTTGTGCTCGTGTGGAATGTGTTTGGAGATTGTTCACCCAAGGTGATTGCTTGATTGGACTCCAGTGGGAGTTGTTTTGACTCATTGGCCAGCTGGGGCCAAGCTGTGTTGGGACTCAGGAAAAAGTCACAAGTTTTCAATTATTATCTTTTTAGCATTCAGTAAGTATCTTTTCTGTATTCTTTAGTGTAGTATAGCATAGTTATACCATACTATATTTTATTATATAGTTATACTATATTTATATTTTGTACTTTATTATACTTTATTATACTATATTATATTCTTTAATATAATATAGTATAATAAAGTAATAAATGAGCCTTCTGAGAACATAGAGTCAGATACATCATTCTCTCTCCTCATCAGGGTTGTCCACACTTACAATAACAGACAAAGCTGATACAGAGATTCTGTCATTAGAAGGTATGAAAAGGCACTTTTTAATTAGAAATCTACAGTTTTTGTAGAAACAATGGTGGACTTAAGACTTGACTGGTGTAGCCATGATATTTTCTAAAAAATCCCTTTGCCAGGATTTTTCTCCTGAGAATCTGAGAAGCCTCAGAGGAAAAGAAAGACAATAATTATCTGCTGCTGAGCAATGCAACTGGTGCATCTTTGATTGGTCCATGTTGGTTGTTTCTACTTAATGGCCAATCCCAGTCAGCTGGCTTGGACTCTCTGAGAGTCAGGACCTTTTGTTATCATTCCACTTCTTTCTTTGCAAGCCTTCTGATGAAGTCCTTTCTTCTATTCTTTAGTATAGTTTAATATATCAATATTAAACTATACTAATATTAATATTAGTATAGTTCAATATATTATTTTCTTCTAATATAATATATATCATAATAAATCAGCCTTCTGAAACATGGAGTCAAGATTTTCGGCTCCCCCCTCATCCTGGGACCCCTGTGAACACCACCACAGATTGGTTTTTAGGAATCTTCTCTCACACTATCAGCAAACTATGAACAGCACACTCTGGAGGATCATACCTATAAACAGCATTTACAGAAAGAGAGATAATAATTGCTTTAATTCTTTCTCTGGGGAAACTTCCCAGGAGAACCCTGGGGCAGCTGTGTGTCTGGGTGTGTGTGTGATCACCCCAGCCCCGTGGCCAGCAGCCCCCTGACCCTGCCCTGTGTCCCTGCAGTACGTGGGAGCCCCTGTGGCCTACATCCAGCAGATCTTTGTCAAGGCCACCGTGTCCCCGTGGCAGAAGAACCTGCTGGCCGTGGACGCCTTCCGCTCGCCGCTGGCCCGCGTCTTCCCGCTGGTGGAGGAGATCAGGAACCACGCCCTGAGGGACAGGTGAGCCCCTGTGGGGACTGCTGTGGCACACCTGGCTCTTGGTGTCACTAATACTGCAGATGGGACATGCTCTGGCTTGTGTGGCTGCTGAACCAAACAGCAGCACTGTGTGTTTCACCCCACAGACACTTTGGGCTGGTGGATGTGTGGTGTTTCCCCCCACAGACACTTTTGGCTGCCTGGGTGTGTGGTGTTTCACCCCACAGACACTTTTGGCTGGCTGGGTGTGTGGTGTTTCACCCCACAGACACTTTTGGCTGGCTGGCTGTGTGGTGTTTCACCCCACAGACACTTTGGGCTGGTGGATGTGTGGTGTTTCACCCCACAGACACTTTGGGCTGCCTGGGTGTGTGGTGTTTCACCCCACAGACACTTTTGGCTGCTGGGTGTGTGGTGTTTCACCCCACAGACACTTTTGCCTGGCTGGGTGCTGCAGCTGGGCCCTGCAGACAAGTCCAGGCCTGCAGGAGCTCTGGTGGTGCTGGGATGGAGCTTCCCCCCATAACAGGGGCTGCTCCTCAGGTTTCCCTCTGTGGAGAATCTTTAAGGCGATGGTGAAGGAAAGGAGTCGGTTCTGATGGAGGGTTTGGATCCAGAGCTTTATTCTGGCCCTCAGCCTCTGAATGCAGCACCAGCTCCAACAGAACTCCCTGAGCCCGTGGTTCCTCACTCTTTTACCCAGGAGAGGAAAGGAGGGAAGGGGCAGGGAGCCACCAAGCAGGTACAAGGGACAAAGGACACCTGGATGGCCCCATGCCCCCCAGGGGTAGAGGGCATCCTTTGGATCTGCCAATCCCTTCTGGAATTGCAGGACTGACAGACAGTGCTGGGAGGGGAAGGAGAGGAGACTGACACACCTGGGAGGGAATGATCAGGGCAGGGACCCGGGTTTCTGGGGTAAACCCTGAGATCACACCAACACCTGGCTGCAGAGGGCTGCCCCAGGGCTGGGCAGGAGCTGGGGGTGTCCTAAAGGGGGGATCCATCCTGCACATGGGGCAGTTCACATTTGTGCTGGGCATTCCCTGTGCTCCAGGCCAGGCACTGAAAGTCCTCAGGAGTTTTCTGGTCAGAGCCCAGAAGGGGCCTGTGGGGTGGCACAGGTGTCTCAGGATGTCCTCACCTCCACACCAGCTCCGTGTCACAGGGGGTTCTGGGCCACTGCTGCCATTTCCTGCTCAGGAACCTTCTCCTGGCTTTCTTTGGCTGTTTTTAGGACCAGTTTGTACCTGCTTGGTTTTATCCTGTTGCAGCCTCTATACAACAGCTTTCCTCAGCTCCCCCTGCCCAGCCCTGCCCCCTGTTTGTTAAAAGCCAAACAGAAATCTCTGGGCTCACTGGTGACAGGCTCAGCACTCCAGGTGCCATCCTGGTCCTGCTGCTGTTAGTGGCACATTCCTGAAGGTGGGAGGGCAGAACCACACACAGATTGTCAGGGCAGTCTCAATTGGGGGGTGTTTTCCATGGAAAGGCTTTTCCTGAAGCCTCTCTCAGATCACAAGTCTGTTTTTTGTGCCCACTCACATCAGTTCTGCACATTAAGAGGTGATTTATTGGTGTCCCCATGTCCCTCTGTCCTTTCCAGCTGACAAGCTCTCACCTCAAAGCAGAAAATCTTTTTTACCCCCAAGTGGGGTCTTGATCTTTGTGCTGGTAAGAGAAGGGGTATTAAATTGCTCATTTTTGAGTGTCCACCCTGCTCCTCTGGCTGATGATTTGTCCTTTTGGGGAGCCATCCTTCACCCCTGCCGCTGCTCTCGGAGGTCACGTTTTAGAAATGCCATTTTTGCTCCTCAGATTTCCTCAGTTTTCCTCTCCCTGGCAGCTCCCCCAGCCTTGGCACTGACCTTGTGGCCGTGTGCTCAGTGCCTCTCCCCCCTTATCCTGTGGGATAATCATTGTTGCCAATTGCAGGCAGAAACAACTGCTCCCAGGCCTGTGCTGTGCTCTCATTATCTCCCTTGTCTTCTCATTGTGTTTTCATTATCTCCCCTTGGCATTGCCCTTGATGAGCACTGATGCAACCCAGGAACAAAATCATTACTTTTGTTATTATTCTTCATACCACCAGGAGAAAATTACTTCAGCATTTAGACCTAAACCTTGGGGCAAGGTTACCATTTTGGGGATGCATTCAGATATTTCAGGAAACATCTAATTTTGAGATGAATTCTGCAATTACCTCAAAAGTCATTATGAAGTTCTTGTTTGTTGCCCGTAACAAAGCTGAGCAGAAATAATTTTTTTACATGCAAACTGGCTTGTTTTGTATTCTATTTTCTATTCTTTTCTATTCTGTTATGTATCTTTTATATTATTTTATATTCCAGAAGGAGCTGAAGGTTGTTAAGTGTCCCTGGGCAGGTGTAAGTGTTAAGTGTAGCATGGGTGTGTTTCCACTGGCTGCACTCATCGATGTGAAGGTCAGGAGTGCCCTGAAATGTGTGCTTTGCCCCAGCTGTGGGTTTGGTGTCACTGTGAACCCTCAGCATCCCCCAGGGACAGGGATGGCAGCCTGGCCTGCAGACAGGAATGGCCCTGGCCTTATCTGCAGCATGAGCTCTTATCTCTGCCACATTCCAGAGCTGATAAAATCCAAACCAGGGTCATCTGCTCCTCCTGGAGCCCTTTCCAGAGCCATCACTGCATCAGTTCCTTTAAATGTTCACCCCCAAAGCTTTTGTCCCTATAAACACTGTATTTTGGAAGTGTATTTTCCATGGCTGTCTTTTGACAGCTGTGCCTTGTCCAGGTGTCCTGCCATGCAGCCACAGGGTGCACACTGTGCAGGGAGTGTTCACAAAGGCAAATAATAATTTTTGAATGTCTGTGCTCGTTCTTTGTAGTTATTATACAAGACATCTCTTCTGGAGAGGGATCTTACAAAGGCTTCAGTTCATTTGCCATCTGGAAGCACCTTCCTGAGATGTGCAGGGCCAGAGCCAGGCAGGCCTTAGCCTCAGACTTTGGCAGCAGTTTAAATTTAAGGACTCCCTCTGCCCCACATGTGCTGGTGATGGCAAATGAGGTGTCTTTATAAAGTGAATTATTTATTAAACAGACAGGAAATAACAGATGGAAGATGTTAATCACAAACACTCCCCAGTACAAAACTGAAGAAGTGCCAGTAGGTTATGGTGTAATTTATTTATTTACAGCATAAACACTGCAGAAATGGAGGTGCCTGTGTTAAAGCTGGCAAAGGAATCAGCAGTGAGTGAGGGGCAGATGGAGCTGCCCATGGACATGGGGAGGGGTTCAGGCTCCTTCACTCAGCCCCTGGAGTAACCACAGAGCAAAGCAGTGTCCCTGCTCAGGGGATGGATGCATAGATAGATAGATAGATAAAATATATCTATCTATATATAGATATATTGATATATAGATAAATGATAGATAATAGATAGATAATAGATTATATAGATGGATAGATAGCTAGATAAAATATCTCCATCTATCTATAGATATATAGATAAATAATAGATAGATGATAGATAGATATAGATAGATAATAGATAGATAGATAGATGTAGATATAGATACATAATGATTACTGATTAAAAAAAAAGCTACAGTGACGAGGTATAGGATTAAGTCCAGAGTGTTCATGGTAGCTGAGGACAACCCAAACAAGTAATTTCACTTGTATTGTTACCAGTCTGTGTAGATCAGGATGTTCCCCACACGTTCAAATCATAGGAAAGGTGGGATGCAAATGAGGATCCAAGAAAAGTTCCTGGAGTTAATATTTTAGTTGCAGTGATTGGAGGAGTTCAGTGATGGGTCAGTGACTCCCTTCACTTCCATTCATGGTTCTTAGTCCAGTGTTCTCAGTGAAGTTCAGCATTTCACGTGTCCTTGCTCACCACATCAAGTGTTAGACAGTTCTGACCTGACCAGTACCCTGCAATAGCCTGACCAAATGTGTGTGTACTACAGAACAATCTGGTTATAGCCCCAGGGCAGCACAGCTGGAATGAAACTCAAATTGTTCCCACCTGCTGCAACGGGGAATTCTATACCTTACCCCGAGGAGATGGGAAGAGGTGCACAAAACTGATTCCAGAATCATATGAAAATTCAAGTTACATTCAGGGGGAAGTCTTTTCCAGCCCCTGTGACAAACAGAGTGAAGAGATGAGCATTCTGAAGCAATGACTCATATTCACTGCAAAACTACTGGGACAGACCATAGCAAATATTAATCCAAACTATTGAAACCTCAAATGCTCCAGCACCTTAGCAATACTGACCAAGATTTTACTTACCACTGTGCAGATCTGGGCTGTCATTCCTTCCAGAGGGAGCATCACTCCAGCTGGAGGAAGGCCACTGGGAAAGAAATTTGGTGTGGAATTCCCATCATCCAAATATTTTGTTGAAATGATGGGAATTCCACACCAAATTTCTTTTCCAGCGGCCTTCCTCCAGCTGGAGTGATGCTCCCTCTGGAAGGAATGACATGAAATGAGAAACTGAGAACAAGTGCACTGTTGTTATCAGTGTCACAGCTTGCAGGAGCTTCATTTGGGAATTTCTCTTACAAGGGTCAGGTACCATTGGTTCTGTGTGTGCTGCATTGGAGTGGCCCCAGGAAAACCAGCCCTGCTCCCTTTCCTTCCCTTTGCAGTCTCTGTAGGAGGTGCAGGGGTGGCTGACAGATCAGGGTGCTGTGCAATTAAGGACATGGTTCTGTAAGAGCCTGAATGAGAGATGTGGGACTCCAGGGGCTCTCCAAAATGCAGTTTATTGTATACAAAATGCAGTTTATTGTATCCAAAATGCAGTTTATTGTACCCAAGGTGTTACAGCAGTCCAGGGTCATGGGTGACAGAGCTGTGCCCACAGCTGTCAGCTCCAGCTGCAGGCAGGCCTGGACACCCTTAGTTTAGTTTATAAATACATTATATACTTTGCTTAGCATCTCAATGCAGTAGAACCAATCTATACCTTAACTTTTATCTACAGCCCATCATAACTACTATAATTACCATATTCAT